GGAAGGGAGAGGGAGACAGAGAGGTGTCCCACTACCTTCTTCAAAGGCATGCATGCTGTCCATGACCTAAAGACAAGTTCCTACCTCTTGAAGGCTCCACCAACTCCCAATAGCACCATGGCCTGGGGACCAAGCCTTTAACCTCCAGTCCTTGGGGATGTTACAGCATGTGGCTTCTCTTCCCGTCTGAGTTCTAAGACATTCATGTGCACACACACTGGCCCTTTCCTCCCACGCCCTCCGCTACCCTATCTCTCACATAGGTACCTACACACCTGCGTGTATGAGGCATATTCTAACCTCCATGACGTGCCCATACGTTTCTGCTAACTGCAGGGTTGGGTGTTGGGGTCTGCTCCCGTAGTCCCCCTTCCTGAGTCCTCCCTAGTCCGAATGACTGACAGCTATTTGCATTTTGAAAGGGGTCTGGCCTCCACAGGGGGTGGGGAGTAGCAAATGACAAGAACAGAAGCAGCACCTAGAAATACTCTTTGCACAGGGAGGCTGTAGGAGTGGCCCCAAAGGGTGCGGACCTGGTGTCTTTGAGTAAAACTGCCACACCCCGAACACAAGTTCTTGGGATGGAGAGAGTGGACGGGAAGCAGAGGAGGAGGCAGCTGGAGGGAGGCCAGGGGTCAGGAGCTGGGCGGAGGCAGGGCTACTGCGGGCTGAAGGAATTTAAATTGAAAAATGAGGTTGTCATGACTTGCAGCCACATGGGGATGAGGAAAGGCCCCCGGGGGCCAAGCCGGCGTCCTACACCTGCCTACACCTGCCCACCTGTGCTGGTCTCTAAGAGAGGAAAGCCACGTGTGGCCAGAGTTTGAAGTGGCTGTTCTGAGCTCTGAGTTCCAGTTCTGCTTCCTCCACCAATCCACACGGAGTCAGCAGCTGGGGGAGTAGTCAAATCTCTTATCTGATAAAAGGGTTTTCTTCCAGGATCTCCCTTTTGGGGGCTGTGAATCACACCCAGGGGGTTGAGGGGTTGCTTGAGGTTTTTGGCCTTGTTGTTTTGTTTTGGGGGGAAGAAAAACAGACTCCATGGAGCACCTGCTGTATGCCATGATGGTGCGGCACATGTCGCCTATTTCATCCTCACAGCTGAAGTTCAAGACACCGTGGTCCCCTGCCGTCAGATGGGTGTGACAGAGGTCACGATTGGTCTGTAGAGGTGGTGGGACTTCCCCAGTGTTCCGAGGCTGGGGAGTATTGAAGACAGGATTCGCACACAGGTACCAGAGCATAAAATGTTTCCAAAGTTCCTGACAGAAAACACCCACAAGACTCTAATGAGTCTTCTCCATTTATTCTCTGGTATTCTCCGTGATTTGCAGAAGTTAGCATGTTCATACTCTCCACAGAAAAAGGGTTTATTTGAAAGTCAAATTGCACTCTCTCTTTTTCTCTCTCTCTACTCCTGTGTATGTGGGAGGTATTGTGGGGAGGGAACAAAAGTCTACACATGAAATGTACTTATTCATGCTTCACATACACTTTATACACATAGTTTAAGGGTGATTTTGATTTTGTACAATCTTTGTGGTGCACGTGCATTTTAGCTCACTTACTCATCACAAGATCAGATTAGGGATTTTGCCTAATGCTAGCCCTCAAACGGTTTCAGAATGGGGGATTCAGAGTTTAGATCAGGGATGCTCGGCCTGTATATATGTTTGTGAAGTACCAGCTTACTTTTCAACCAGGAATTCTACCTCTTTACTTTAGCCTAAAAATATTAAGAATTTCTGAATAAAAAATGCTCAATAAGATATATTGTAAAATTTCATGAATTAGTGCACCATGAATAATGGGCAGTAGTTTTACTTTAGTGCAAGCTGGACAATTAAGAAAATCATGTTTTAGGAAATAGTCAACTATTATATAAAAGTGGCAAAAGAGAGGTAACAAAGATGGCTGGTGACAAATATGAAGGAAAAAAAGAGGATTCTTCATGCTCAATGCGTGGAGAAACCAAAAAATAATTCAATGACATATGGGCTGATTTTAAGTAGTACAATAAAAATCTTTTAAATGATATTTTTCATTGCTTCTTTCTGTAAAAAAATTTGAAATGAGAAATCAGAAATAAATCGTGTAATTCATAAAATAAGTCCCACTAGCAAGAGGGTTGCTGTGGGAGAGCGGGCGTCATCCTGCAGGAGCCCAGCTGCACACAATAGGACAGGGCGAGGGCAGACAAGAGGAGGACAGGACGCCCTGCGCTGCCCTGCGCTCTCCTGGCGTGGCCAGCAGAGACAGCCAGGAGCTGAGTCAGTGTGTCCTGGGGATCCTCCTCCTCACAGCTCCCTGGGGAAGGCCGTGCCATCCTGGCTGGACTCAGACTCATGGCTCTGGGCAGAGTCATGGCACCCCCGGCTCTGAGGCTCCCCCTGCTCCTCTGTGTGCTGCTGCTGCCGCTGGAGGCCCAGGGAGGGTACCGTGGACGTAAGTGGGCCCCAGGTAGGTGATGGCTGTGTGGGTACACGGGAGGGGCAAGAGGGACCCATCTTGGAGGACCTGGTACCTCTCTGCACACCCAGCACAGACCGCAGCACTGTGGAGGCTCTGGGCTGGTCAACGCCTGGCGTCCAGCCTGTGACCCAACCTGGGAACAGTGACAGTGGAGGAAGGTCCTGCACCTCTCCTTCCCCTCCTTTCCAAAGACCAGGAACAAATGGCACATGCTGTGGGGAAAGGGGCATGGGCTCTAGAGTCTAAGGGGCCAACAGGACACGATTCTTTGACCTGTGCACATCTGTGGGGCCACGCAGAGGTATTCATGGGTGGAGGAGGTGGAGAAATGGTGAGGTGTGGAGGGAAAAGACACTGGTGGGAAGATAGGGAGGACGGAGCCAAGGTGAAGGGCTTTAGGACCCTGCTGACTCCCAGGGTCTGGGGAGGGCACAGGGGAGTGTGCCAGGAAAGTGCAGGGTCCCCGGAATTGAAGCTGGAGGAGGAGGCTCTCTGGGCAGCGGCCCCCCAGCGGCTCCTGTTTCTCCTCAGCGTCCCCGTGGACTCCGGAAGCCGAGGCCTATAAGCAGTGGCCCAGTGCTGAGGGCTGCAGCCTCCGCTGCTCCTACTTCCAGAAGTGTCAAGGGAACAGCACGTGCTGCTTGACCTTCTGTGGGA